GGAGCCGATCTCTGTGCTTCCCAGAGCAGGGGAAGGGGAGCGCTTCGTCTCCCTGCGCTGCAGGGTAATGCCGAACGCAGCTCTCAGCCCTTCTCGGGCTTCTCAAATGGCCTTTGCACGTGGAGTGCGTGTAACTAGACCCTGATGACTAATACCAGCATAGCAAGGCAGTGTTCATTGACCTGCTCTATCATCTGCGAGATAGTGTGGGGAAGTCAGTCGGGGGTACACTGTCTGACTGCTTTCGTCTCCCTGCGCTGCAGGGTAATGCCGAACGCAGCTCTCAGCCCTTCTCGGGCTTCTCAAATGGCCTTTGCACGTGGAGTGCGTGTAACTAGACCCTGATGACTAATACCAGCATAGCAAGGCAGTGTTCATTGACCTGCTCTATCATCTGCGAGATAGTGTGGGGAAGTCAGTCGGGGGTACACTGTCTGACTGCTCACAGTACTAACACGTCCATGTATTTTAAAAATGCACGAAGACCTATGTGAGTGAGTTACTGTGTTGTCTTAACACTGCGTTTGTATATAGATAGAAATATGGATAACATTTGACCATAACTAAAGTCACTTTAGATTGTCTTCCTGGTTCCAGAGGGAGAGGCATGGGCTGGTTTTCTTTCTAGTCTGTTGATTGGTATCATGTCCCTCTGTTTAGTTTTTGCATCGAGTACAAGTGAGCAACTATTTTAATCTCTTTCCTGGGGGGGAGGAGCAGAGAAGAATGTCTGATGGAGTCCTTGAATTAGGAGAAGTATCCACCCTTGCTGAACAACACTCTACATTTTGCTTACCAGTAACTTCTGCAACTAAATTTTACATGGTACTAAAGCTCTTCTGTTTAATGGCAAATATACTTTTTCTTTCTCAAACTCTCTTTTGATTAGGCACAGAGTTCAGCTATTGTTCTTATGGAGTAGAATTTTTTTCTTTTAGATTTTTGTATTGCCTAATTCTGAAGATAATTGCTTCCGTCCACTAACCTTTCCTGTTGATAACATCCAGGTGATGAGATGATTTCCTTTAGATCTCCACCAGAGTTTGTTGTAGAAGTTTTGTTTCTTCATATGAGTGTATAATGCTTTATTTTGGTTTTGTGCAGTATAAAGAAAGAGAGAAAAGAGTGTCTGAGATGAAGGGTTACTTCACTATAGAGGTACCAGTTATTGAGCTGGCTAACCCTCCAGATACACTTTTGCTAGAAACTAGGGATATTAAATATCAGTTAATTGAGTAATCGATTAACCTCACAAATTTCTTATCGGTTAGTTGACTATTTCATAGTCCCCAGGGGTGGGGCTAGCAGCTAGTGTGCTCCAGGGGTGGGGCTAGCAGCAAGTGCTCTCCAGCCCTACTCCCAAGGAACCTCCTACCACTCCATGCTGCTGCCTCTATGGGGTGCCAGGTGGGAGCTGATTCGTGAGGGGAGCCAATTAAAAAACCAGTTTCCCTAGTGGTCTGGCGGCTGCCTGTTGCCTTGTGCTGCTGCCTCTGATACAAAGGTAACAATGCAGGGTGGCAGCACACCCTATCCGGGGGATGGGGTGTGTGTGTGTGTGTGTGAGCTCCCAGACCTGGCATGAGTTGGGACTACTTTAAATTCAGAGCTGTGGTGGGGATAAGTCCCAGACCCAGCGCATGCAGGACTGAGCCGGGTTGCTGGCCAGCCTTCTAAAACATTTACTGGCAAGGGGGAGAAGAGGGATGCGTGTAGTCTATAGCATTAACCTAAAAGCTTTTGCTTATTGGTTAATCAACTACATTATTACATCCCATTTAGAAACCACCATATGGAGAGCTTAGATGAGTGACTGCTAATGGGGGGTGGAGGGGAGCTGCCCATGATCTAATGTGATTTGGCAGGCAGCAGGAGAGTGAAACAGTTAAAATAGCCATTAAAATTAATCCTCTTGAAAACATTGACATTTAGATGTTGTAAATATGCTGTTTAAATTTGAATTTGGGCACCTCACTCCAGTTGACTTTAATGGAAAACTAAAGGTATCTAAATAGCTTTGAGAATGTGGGCCTCTGTTCCTGTATTGTAGAATCTTCATGGCAGAGATCTACAAGGCTGCTGTGGTGCAAAACCCTTAGAACAGTAAAGGGGGTATTATAGGCTATGACTGAGGAAATTTGCAGTTTCCTTGTGAAACTTTGGAATAGATTATCTTGGTATTCAAAAGAAAAGACAATTGTTCGCTAGCAATGAAACCAAAGTGTGAAACCAAACATTGTAGGGTGGGATCCCCCAAAAGGGCTAATCTTGCCATACAAACTAGCAAGAAAAAGCAAATCAAGAACTTGCTTGATTTCCTTGCAGATTACACACACGCACACACCTCGCAAAGCGGGGCTCGCAAAGCGGTGGCGAGCCCCTTTCGCGCGATTCTGCGCATGTGCAGATCGCTCTGCGCCGGCTCTTCCGGGTTATTATTTGTCAAGCACTGTGTGTGTGGATATATATACGCTCTCTCTCTCTTTGTTTCTCAGCTCTGTCTGAAAATAAGTCCTGAAAAAGTTGCATATGATCTCTTAAACAAAGGCTTTAGCCACTGTTCTAACCAGTTACACTCTTATGAACATCAGTCTTTACCCTCCCTTCTTTCCCTCTGCAGCAAGATATATTCCTCATTAAATAGTAACTTGATTTCCCAGTTCTGCTTTTATTTGGCATTAGAAGCAGGGATCTAAGCTGCCCATAAAGCAAATGTTGATCCTCATTTCTATTTCTTTATTGGTACCTGGCCTGTGTTCTTGAATTCATCTGTTACTTCTAGTTCTTCCTCCTAAGATTATGAAGTCAGAGTCTCTAATCGTTCTTTGCAGGCAGAATATAACTTCCTCTTGTCAAGTAAAAGCCATTCTCTGTGAACTGACAGTCAAAGAGTGGTATCAGAATAGTGCAGACTGTAAATGCTTATCAGATAGTCGAGTCGACTAGTCACTTCCCCACCACTTGCTGCCTCTATCAGAAAGAGGGGGTATTTCAAAGTGTCAGCACTGCTTCGAGCCTGGGCCAGCTAGGGTGTCCCCATGTGGCATTTCAAAGCGGCAGCGCTGCATAGAGCCTGGGGTCAGCGGGGGAGTCCTTAGCTGACTCCAGGCTCCATGCAGTGCTGCTGCTTTGAAATGCCATGAGGAGCCTGACGCCGGGCTCCCCACGGTGTTTCAGAGTGGCAGCACTTCATGGAGCCTAGGGTCAGTGGGGTAGTCTCCAACTGACCCCGGGCTCTCTGCAGCACTGTTGCTTTGAATCATTGTGGGGAGCACAGTGTCAGCAGGGACTGCCCCACTGGCCCCGTTCTCCCGATGCTCTATCAACTAATCTAATAGTCAATGCAAATTTCATTAGTCAATTGAAATTTAACATCCCTAGTGTAGAGCTCACTTTTGGTATCCAATTTCAAAGGCTGCTTTTGCTTTGTTATCAGGTTTAGGTTTGTAAAGCATGTGCATTTAATACACTTACGTTATTTTTCCAGAACACATGAGATGGCCACAGATGACAAACAGTCTCCAACACTGGAATCTGTCAGTGATCTGCCCTGCTCTCCTAGCAGTCCCTCTCATCTCACTCACTTCAAACCATTGACTCCTGATCAAGATGAGCCTCCTTTTAAATCTGCCTACAGCTCCTTTGTAAATCTCTTTCGTTTTGGCAAAGGTAAATCTTACAATCAAGCTATAGCTATTAATTGTACCAAATGTCCTACTTCCATATTCATGCATAACTAGTGTATGACACTTCATGAGATGAGGGCATGGGTACTGCCAGCCAGTCAAATGAATGATTAGGAAGGCTCTTATGAGGGTTTTACTTTCTTTAGTGAAATATATGAGCTGGATTCACTTTCTGGCAAGGCAGTAGAACCTTGTTCATAGGATTAAATGTGCCAGGAGTTGAAAATGTGGATGTCTGAGCTGCTTGCAACCTCTGATTATATCCAGATTGAGAGCTGCAGCAGCCAATAGTGCATGGGGAGATGCATTAATAAGCTTCTTTCCACAGGGCTTCTGTAGAGGGTGTAAAGATCATGTTTCTATTAAAAAAACCCTCCCAGGATGGAAGCGATGTACCACTGCATGTCCTCTACAGTGAAATGAGTATTTCTGATGCAAGTTCTATCCTGGCCCTGCTTCTCTCCACTCATATTGGTGATTTCCAAATGGTTAAGTTTCAGTAATGAACATAGGGAAACCACTTCTTAAAATACATTTCTAAAGGCTAATGTGATTCTGCGATGCATAAACAGGATTATTATGGTAAAGAATAGAGATGTTGCTTTTCCTTTCTATTTGTACTGACGTGTCACATTCTCTTATGCACAGTTCAAGAAGATTTTGATAAATTGCCAAGTGTTCAGAGAATAGCCACAAAAATGATTAAAGGATTAGGGAAAAAAGTCTGAGACACTCAAGGAGCTCAATTTAGTTAGCTTGCCAGAGAGAAGAGAAAGGAGCACCTTAATTATGGTCTATAAAAGAGGTGGGCGACTTGTAGCCTGAGGACCATATGCAGGCCATCGGGGTCATATATTTGGCCTGTGAGACATTTTGTTTACCATTGCCCACGTGCAGAGTTGCCAGATTACACTGGTTTCTGTGTATTTTTCTACCGATATTATTAAAGTAACACGTAAAGCAAAGGTACGTGAATTGATGTGCATACTGATCGCACACAACATTGATTGTAAGAGCCATGGGCTACTTCTACATCAGTGAGCATGCCAAGATTTTGATAAGTGGTCAAGGGCTCCACTTTTCAGTGGAGTAGGTGTGTGATCTGGGATGGAGGTTGGGTGCAGAAAGTAGGTTGGGGTAGGAGTGTGGGGTGTGAGAGGAAGTTTGGGTTGTGACCTGGAGCAGAGGATTGGGTTGTAGGGTCCAGGAAGGGGTATAGGTGTAGGAGAGGATTCTGACCTAGGGGAGGGATGTAAGAGGGGGTGCATGGGCTAGGAGGGAATCGGGATGCAGGAGGGGGTAGATTGCCAGAGGCAGGCTCTGGTTGGGAGGTACTTACCTAAGCAGTTCCCAGCCAGCAGCCCAGCAGGGCCCTCAGGCAGGCTCCTTGCCTGCTAGTCGCCCTAGACCACTCAAAACACCTGGCTGTTCTATGAGGCTCTCTGAGCTGTGCAATGTGTAGAGGAAGACTGTGTGCTGTCCCTGCCCTCAGCACAACCTTTTGGCTCCCCCTGCCCATGGCACAGAGAGCCACAAGGAACAGAGAGCCAGCTGCTGTATGCTGGAGGATCCTGGCCTGCCCCTGCTCTATATCCTGCTTTATGTCCAGTCAGAATGCTGCTACAGTTCAGTTGGCATGCCATGTAATAAAGAGCCTCCTAGTTTTGAGTTTGTGTAGTGTCTAGCCCCGTGCAATGGGAGCTTTTATCCAGGATGAATTCCCTATGTATTACAGTATTGCAAATAATAATTCAAATAAACTATCTATAAAGCTTCTTTAGCTTTACATTTTTCTAGTGCTGCTAGATTTCAATGTCTCTCTTCTACTATTGATTTCTTGCTGTTCTTGAACTTAGATGATGGTAGGTTCTCATCTCCTGCAGAGATTGTCCAGGGTGAGCAGCAGGCACTGAGTGGGACTTGGTCCAGTCCTCAGCATACCTCACGGGCACAGTCTCTGAGGTCCCCCAATCCATACAAAAAGCAGCTTACTGGGGAGCTACAACGCAGAGCTTCTACAACTTTAGGTAATATGTGTCTAATTTTAATATTGTTTATATTTTAGTTGGGTGTTGTCTAATCCTGGGAGGTTCTATACCTATATTTCAGGTGCAGCAGCTGAAGGAAAGAGAATTTCAGTGAGTTTTCCAAGGCAAGAACTGGGATTAAAACTTGGGATATTCCTAGCTCTGTTTGCTAGTTAGACTACGTAACTTTCTGTTTAAGTTGCAACTTCTCCTTCTCCTAAGCATGTCTGGTCTTCTCTCAAGGCACTGTAATAACTTGACTAGCACAGCTTTTTATAATCACTGATGACAAAATGTTATCTTGCTCAAGTAAGACTAGCAGAAACTGCTAGGTCAAAAATCTTTAGTCCTCTCTCCATAGCCAGGATTGCATTGCTGGATAAAAGTTTAAATGCCTAATTATTCAGCAGAATTGCAAGTAAACAAAACTGACACTTCTCGATGAACTGCAGGGCACAGTCCTAATATGGTTCCTTAGGTTTCAGTTAGCTGTAGCATTCACTAGTTGCATCTTTGAGGAGGAGATGCCACAGGGACTCTCAGAAAATGCTTTAAATGCTTGATCAAATGATACTATGCCATACTGAATTGCTACTAGCCAGCTATTTGCAATGAACTAAATAATACTGGATTCTGCCATTGTATAACAGCTGAGCCAGTACCTGGATGGCGGCCCTTCAAAGAAAGAGGTGCTGCAGCAAATGGCATTGGTGATTCATGATGTGGAATTGGCAATCCTTATTTCTTTACTATATATTGTAGAAATGTGTGTCTGTCCATCTGTGAGTCTGTTTATTCAAGAACTCCTCCTAACTGGTAAGAGCTAGGACTGCTACATTTGGCATGTAACTTCCTCTTCTTATAACTTCAAGCAAGAGAAGGGTTTGGTTGTGCCAGGACAATGGGATGTGCCTGGAATTAAATTGTTTGTCATAAAATGGAAAAGGAGGGACAGTTATCTTGAGAATTATCAAGGGGCCAGAGATGGAGGTTATAGCTGTCCCTTTGTCCACCCCTGCCAGCCCAATGGGGACTGGGACAGCTATCCACTATATATTTCAGAGAGTCTGTGTGTCTGTCTGTCCCCTAGCTGCGCCTGCTGCAGTAGCCATGGACAAATGCTTCTCACCTGGCCTCGAGCAGTTATGGCGAGAGAGGGCCTGGGTTGTCCTTTCTCCCTGGGGCAAGCTGCATACTGAATCCCTTATCTGCAGCTCCATCACTGAACAATGATTTAAATGAAGAAAAACAAAACTTATTTGTGTTGAGGACACAAGGAATTTCTAGTTCCTGTTAATTTAACGCCCCCAGAATGGAGCTAGAGTATTGTACTAGAGATCTTAGATATCGATTAATTTAATAATTGTGTAACTGCATCAAATTTAGCTGTTACGTGATTATTTAATAATCCCTCTGATAGAAAGGCAATAGCACAGGGCAGCAGCAGCCCCTGTCCACGGGGGACCTGAGCTCCCTGTGGACAGAAGTGTTGCAGCGGAGAGATCTGGCCCCAGCAACTGGGCAGTAGCAGAGGGTTGGCAGTGACCACGAAGTTCTGGCTCTGGCAGCAGTGGGACCAGCGGGAGCTGGAGAGCTCCAGCCTAGGGAGTGACAGCTGGCTAGGTAGTGGGGCATAGGGGCAGCGGTTTAGCATGGGCTATTAGGGGAGGGATCTGGTCTGGCAAACCCCCTTGTCCGGGACCAGTCAGGTGCCGAGGGTACTGGACTAGAGAGGTCCACCTGTACTAGTGTTTTGGTGGCTGTAACAGAGAAAGGAGGTAATAGGGAATGAACATGTAGGAAAGAAGAGATGACATGGGAGAAACTGAATGATACCTAGAATGCAGTCTCTTCTATTGTTATGTCAGCATGTAGACAACTACATGATTATTTTTAATCCTATCAACTACATGCATTTCCCTCATCCCTTACTGCCTCTGTATGAGAGGCAACAAGGGAGAGGGTTAGCAAGAGCCAGTGCCTGCGGGGAGCCAGCACAAGCAGTGGATCTGCTGCTCCCCATCCCCCTCATGCTGCTGCTTCTTGATTCAGAGGCAGCAATGTGGAGGATGAAGGGAGGGGGGTTGGCGGGAGCCAGTACTTGCAGGAAGCTGACTCTTAAGCTAGCTCTCTGTCTGTGTCGGCTCCGTGGACTACCTGCCCTCCTTGCTGCCTCCTACAGGGGCAGCAGGGGTGGTTGGGCAGGCAGGAACCAGTGCTACCTGTCACCCTGCACAGCTGCTTCTGTGGCGTGGGCTCCCCGGGAGTGGGGGTGGGAGTGTACTGGCTGCAGGCCCAGCCATTTGATGTGGTTACACGCTGTCTAACTCCCCTACTATCTTACATGCACTAGATTCTGTTCTTGTTGTGCACTCTGTCTCCTGACATTTCAGAACCCTTACGTAGGAGAAATGGGAATTGACTCAAGTAAATTAAGAGACATTGGGTCAATTTTAATTAAAACTTTCTTTCCGTTATTTGGTGAATGAGCCTCGTATGTGACATCATTTGTCCTTCTGACCTGTTAAGTAAAAGTTAATTTTTAAATCTAACTAGTATAAAGTTAGCTATGTAAATATAAATTTTCCCTAACTATATTATCCTGAGTTGCAACATGGTTACTTAATTTAAACACACTTATTTTCTGAAACCATTTGTTTAAAAAGAGCTTTGACTGGTGTGAGAGGCTGGTTCAGTGGAAGTTTTGATACATCTGATAGCCACCTGTCACTAGAACATATGCCCATCTGGAAGTTGATGCATTTACCGTATATTCCGGCGTACAAGACGACCTCTGATGTTAAAAAACATCCCCCAAAAATCCGGGGTCGTCTTGTACGCCGGGTATACATCCCAGGCGCGCCTGGGCTGCTCCCCCGCCGGCTTCCCCCGAGGCTTTCAAAGCCGCGGAGGGGCTCCGGTGGGGGAGCAGCCCACGCGCGCCTGGGATGCCCCCCCCGCCGGCCTCCCCCC